GAAATAATGGAAATATAGAACAACTGGAAAATGAGATAAAATAGCAATATTAAGCCCTCATATATCAATAATAACTCTAAATGTAAATGGATTTTCTCCACTCATGAGACACAAAATGGTTGGATCGATTAAAAAACAAGACCCAACAATATGCTGCCTTCAGGAAACATGTCTCAGTTTGAATGACAAACATAGGCTCAGAATGAAGGAATGGAAGATGACATTCCAAGCAAATGGCAAGCAAAAGAATGCAGATGTTGCCATACTTGTATCAGACAAAGCAGACTTCAAGATAAAAAAGACAAAGAGAGACAAAGAGGGGCAGGATATAATGATAAAAGGGACACTCCATCAAGAGGACATAACACTTATGAATATATACTGTTCTATAGTACATAGTATACCTAACACAGGAGCACCAAAGTATATAAAGCAACTATTAACAGATCTAAAGCAGAAATTGGCAGCAACACAATAATAGTAGGGGACCTCAACACCCTACTTGCATCAATGGATAGATCATTCAGACAGAAAGTCAACAAGGAAACTGTGGCCTTAAATTAAATACTAGACTAGATTGACACACACACACACATATATATAACATTCCATCCAAAAACAGCAAAATACAGATTATTCTGAAGTTCACGTGGAAGATTCACAAGGATAGATCATATGTTGGGAAACAAGGCAAGCCTCAATGAATTTAAGAAGATTGAAATCATATCAAGCATCTTTTCCATCCATGTGTTGTAAAAATTACAATAAATTACAAGAAAAAGGCTGGGAGAGTCACAATATGTGGAGACTAAACAACATGATACTGAACAACCATTGGATCAATGAAGAAATCAAAGTAGAAATAAAAAAATACCTGGAGACAAATGAAAATGAAAACAAAACATACCAACTCTTATGGGATGCAGCAAAAATAGTACAAAGGGAAATTCATAGCAATGCAGGCTCGCCTCAACAAACAAGAAAAATCTGTCTGTTTTTGTGCCACAACCATGCTGTTTTGGTTACGATAGCTTTGTAGTATATTTTGAAATCAGGGAGTGTGATACCTCCAGCCTTCTTCGTTTTACTCAGGATTCGTTTGGATATTTGGGGTCTTTTGTTGTTCCATATAATTTTTGGATTCTTAGTTCTATTTCTGTAGAAAATGTTGTTGGAACTTTGATAGGGATTGCATTGAATCTGTAGATTGCTTTAGGAAGTATGGATGTTTTAACTATGTTAATAATTCCAATCCAAGAGCACACAATATCTTTCAATTTCTTCTGGAGTGTCGTCTTCAATTTCTTTCAACAATGTTTTATAGTTTTCAGTATAAGATCTTTCACCTCTTTGGTTAAGTTTATTCCTAGGTGTTTTATTCTCTTTGTTGCACTTGTAAATTGGATTGTATTATTAATTTCTCTTCCTGTTACTTCGTTGTTAGTGAATAGAAACGCAGCTGATTTTCGTATGTTGATTTTGTATCCTGTGACTTGACTGTATTCATTTATTATTTCTAAAATTTTTTTTAGTGGATTCTTTATAGTTTTCTATATATAAAATCATGTCATATGCAAATAGTGACAGTTTCACTTCTTCCTTTCCAATTTGGATCCTTTTTATTTCTTTTTCTTGCCTGATTGTTTTGGCTAGGATTTCCAATACTATGTTAAATTAGAGTGGTGAAAGTGGGCATCCTTATCTGGTTCCTGTTCTTAGAGGGATCTCTTTCAGTTTTTCTCCATTGAGAATGATATTAGCTGTGAGTTTGTCATATATAGCCTTTATTATGTTGAGGTACTTTCCTTCTATACCCATTTTATTTAGGGTTTTTATCATAATTGGATGCTGTCTCTTGTCAAATGCTTTCTCTGCATCTATTGAGATGATCATGTGATTTTTAGTCTTCATTTTGTTAATGTGGTGTATCACGTTGATAGATTTGTGGATTTGGAACCATCCCTCCATCCCTGGAATGAAACCCACTTGATCATGATGTATGATCTTTTTAATGTATTGTTGTATTCGATTTGCTAGTATTTTGTTGAGCATGTTTGCATCCACGTTCATCAGTGATATTGGCTTGTAATTTTCTTTTTCTGTATTGTCCTTGTCTGGTTTTGGTATCAGGGTAATGATGGCTTTGTAGAATAAGTTAGGAAGCTTCCATTTCTCTTCAATTTTTTGGAAGAATTTGAGAAGGATAGGTATTAAGCCTTCTTTGAATGTTTGGTAGAATTCACCAGGGAAGACATCTTGTCCTGGACTTTTATTTTTTGGGAGGTTTTTGGTTACTCTTTTGAGCTCCTTACTGGTGATTTGTCTAATCAAATTATCTCTTTCCTCTTGACTCAGTTTTGGAAGTTTGTAAGATTCTAAGAATTTATCCATTTCTTCTGGATTATCCAATTTGTTGGTGTATAGCTTTTTGTAGTATTCTCATAATCTTTTGTATTTCTGAGGGGTCTGTTGTAATTTCTCCGCTTTCATTTCTGATTTTATTTATTTGAGCCTTCTCTCTTTTCTTTCTTGGTGAGTCTAGCTAAAGGTTTGCCAATTTTGTTTATCTTTTCAAAGAACCTGCTCTTGGTTTCATTGACTTTTTCTGTTGTTATTTTAGTCTCTATTTAATTTATTTCTGCTCTGATTTTTACTATTTCCTTCCTTCTACTGATTTTGGACTTTTTTAATTCTTATTTTTTTAATTCCTTAAGGTGCACTGTTAGATTGTTTATTTGGGATTTTTCTTGTTTGTTTATGTAGGGCTGAATTGCTATAAACTTCTCTCTTACAACTGTTTTTGCTGTATCCCACAGATTTTGGTACGTCATATTTTCATTTTCATTTCTCTTTGGGTATTTTTTGATTTCTCCTTTGATTTCTTTATTGACCCAATCGTTGTTCAGTAGAATTTTCTTTAATCTCCACATATTTGTGGCTTTTCTGATCTTCCTACAGTTGATTTCTAGTTTCATACCTTTGTGGTCAGAAAAGATCCTTGGTATTGTTTCAGTCTTCTTAAATTTATTGACGCTTGTTTTGTGGCCTAATATGTCATCAATCCTGGAGAATGTTCCCTGTGCATTTGAAAAGAATGTGTATTTTGCCATTTTGAATGGAATGTTCTATGTATATCTACTAAGTCCATCTGGTCTAATGTGTCATTTAAGGCCAATAGTTCCTTATTGATCTTCTGTTTGGGTGATCTATCCATTGGTGTAAGTGGAGTGTTAAAGTCCCCTACTATGTTGTGTTAATGTCTATTTCTCCTTTTCTGTCTGTTAATCATTGCTTTATAGATTTAGGTGGCCCTATGTTGGGTGAATAGATATTTACAAGTGTTATATTCTCTTGTTGGATTATTCCCTTTATCATCATGTAGTGCTGTTCTTTGCCTCTTGTTGCTGTTTTTGTTTTAAAGTCTACTTTGTCTGATACATGTATTGCTATTCCAGCTTTCTTTGCCATTTTCACAGAGTATCTTTTTCCATTCCTTCACTTTCACTTTGTGAGTGTCTTTAGGTCTGATGTGTATCTCTTGTATGGAGCATATATATGGGCCTTTTTTTTTTATCCAGTAGGCCACCCTGTGCCTTTTGATTGGAGCATTTAGTCCATTGACAATTAAAGTAGCCATTGATAAATATGTATTTATTGCCATTTTGTTACTTTTTTTCTGGGTGTTTTAGTAGTTCTTCTCTGTTCCTTTCTTCTTCTCTTGGTCTCTTCCCTTGTGGTTTGAAGGCTTTCTTTAGTATTATGCTTGGATTCCTTTCTCTTACTTATTTGTGTATTTATTATAGGTTTCTGGTTTGTGATTACCATGAGGTTCGTATATAATAATCTATGTATATAGCAATCTATATTGAGTTGACGGTGTCTTTAGTTTGACCTCTTTTTAAAAACTGTAGTCTTTTACTCCTCTCCTCCCACATTTTATGTTTTTGATATTATATCTAGCCTCTTATTTTGTGTGTATGTTTCCATTACTCTCTTATCATTGAAATAGGTAATTTTAGTACTTTTGTCTTTTGACCTTCATATTACCTTCATAGGTAGTTGATCCACTTATTCTTATTTGTGGTCTTACCTTTCCAACTTAAATTAGTCCCTTTAGCATTTCTTGTAAAACTGGTTTCTTGGTGATAAATTCCTTTAAGTTTTGCTTGTCTGGGAAACTCTTTATCTCTCTTCCCATTATGAATGATAACCTTGCCAGGTAAAGTATTCTTGGCTATAGGTTTTTTCCTTTCAGCGCTTTAAATATGTTGCACCACTCCCTTCTAGCCTGTGAGTTTTCTGTTAAGAAGTCAGCTGATAGCCTTATGGGGTTTCCTTTGTATGTCACTTGCTGCCTTTCTCTTGCTGCTTTTAGGATTCTCTCTTGATCTTTAATTTTGGACATTTTAATTATAATGTGTCTTGGTGTGGGCCTCTTTGGGTTTATCTTGTTTGATATTCTCTGTGCTTCCTGTACTTGGATGTCTGTTTCCTTCCTTAGGTTATGAAAGTTTTCAGCTATTAGTTCTTCAAAGAGATTCCCTGTCCCTTTGTCTCTCTCTTCTCCTTCTGGGACACCCATAATATGAATGTTATTGTGCTTGATGTTGTCCCAGAGTTCCCCTAGGCTGTTCTTGTTCTTTTTAATTCTTTCTTCTTTCTTGTGTTCAGCTTGGGTGAAGGGAGTCAAAAGGTACAGACTTCCAGTTATAAAATAAATAAGTTGTGGGAATGTAGTGTACAGCATGGTGACTATAGTTAATAACACTGTATGGCATATTTGAAAGTTGTTAAGAGAGTAGATCTTAAATGTTCTCATCACAAGAATAAAAATTCTGTAACTATGTATAGTGATGGATGTTAAATAGACTAATTGTGGTGATTATTTTGAAATATATAAAAATATCAAATAATTATGTTGTTCACCTAAAACAAATATATATCAATTATACCTCAATAAAAAAAGACAAAAAAGTTAATCATCACCAAATGGAACTTACCTCACAAAGGATAGGTAGAAGATTCTTACACGCAGTTTGGGTGGACGCAACAAATCAAAAAGTGACACATTGGTCTGGCCTTCATCCAACTCCTGCTTCATGGTGGATTTCACAAACTTCAACAACAAAAATAACAATAAGTCTTTATGACATGCAAGTAAGCACCAGGTATGGTGGTAAATGTTAGAGGATGAGATGGATGTGTTGTTCCCTATCCTCAAGGACACTTCCAACTAGTGGGAAACATGGGCATTAAACAATCTATCTTGTGTGGAGAGTTACAAAATGCATAGGGAGAAATGGAATTCAGGGAATTATACAGGATAGAGGTCAGTTTAAATACAGAGCTGGGGAGAGGGAAAAGGCATTGACAAAATGATTTAGTCTAAATTGGAACCAATGAAAAGGTACTTGTTTTTTTTTTTTTAAAGATTTTATTTTTTTCCTTTTTCTCCCCAAAGCCCCCCAGTACATAGCTGTATAGTCTTCACTGTGGGTCCTTCTAGTTGCGGCATGCGGGACGCTGCCTCAGCATGGCTTGATGAGCAGTGCCATGTCCGCACCCAGGATTCGAACCAATGAAACACTGGGCCGCCTGCAGTGGAGCATGCAAACTTAACCACTCGATCACGGGGCCAGCCTCGAAAAGGTACTTGTTTTAAGGAGAGGTTTCTTTCCCATCCAGAGGACATGAAAGAATTGTCCTCCTCTTGTTAGAAGTGGAATTGTCTGCTTTTCCAAGGCCATGGCTTTCTTGAAAACTGGGTCCACTTTATGGTTTTGTTCAGAGCAATCTTTTTCAGGCATGCCAGGCAAGCTGTCTCCCTTCATGACTGGAGTGCATGGAGTTAAAGGCAGAGAAAATAGCAGAGGATATGCTGTCAGAGTATAGTCTATGTCTGGGCCAGATACTATGAAAGGTAGGGTACAGTGGTTGGAAAGGAATTGGTTTTAGGGTTGGACAAACCTGGTTTGGAATTCTTGCCCTGCCACTTGATAGGTTACTTAATATCTCAGGGCCTCAGTTTCCTTATCATTTAAAAAATGAAATTTGCACTTATCTCACAGAGGTTATCTAAGATTTACCTAAAGTCACACATTCAAATGTGAAATGTAACCAGCAGAGGGGTAGGCACTTATTATTTTTCAAAACAACATTATTTCTTATACCAGACCTATGGTTATTTGGTGCAGGAGATGGCGGACTTTCCCTGTACAGCTCCAGAAAGTAAATATTTTAGGTTGTGCAGGCAATAGTTTCCATCACATTTGCTGGATTATGATATTGTAGCATAAAAGCAGCCACAGACAATATGGAAACAAATGGGTTTGGCTATATTCCAATAAAATTTTACTTTCAAAAACAGGTATTAGTTTGTATTTGGCCCATAGGCTAAAGTTTGCTAATCCTGAATTTAGTGGATGCTGTTGTGTTCTACTCAGATTTCCCATTCAAGTCTAAGACACTCACTTCTCCAATTTCTTGGAATTTTGACAGCTGATGTCTCTCAGTTGTGGCCTTCTCTGGGAACTGCCCTTAGATGAAGAGATCCTCCTCACATGGGCCACTCCCCTGTTCTCATCCAATGGCTGATAACTTCAGACATATGAAGCTAGGCCTCATTACCTTGGGCAGAGAAAATCTGATGCGCTATCCTGGCTCCAGAGTTCCCTGCAGGGTTAGCTGGGGACTCTGTTGCAACTGTATTGCATTTTGACTTCTCTTTTTGTCCATTCCTGTGCTCTCACTCCTATACTGTTCCTGAAAGAACTCCCCAATAAACCTCCTGTACCCAAATCTCAGATTTCCCAGTTCCTGAGGAACTGGGCCTTAGATCCACTGCTACTGGCCGGGAGTGATCAAAGAAGTCAATGCCACAATGAGAATTCAGAACTAGATCATCCTAGCATAGAATATGCTGTAACTAGTGGTAGTTGGGGCATGCAGCTGTGGTACAATCATTAAAAATTTCACTGGTGGTGAACAGGGATGGGATATTGGTGGAAGGCAATACACTGGTATGTGTATGATTCAGGATTTTGAGGGTTTCAAGAAAAATAATAATTACCAGGACTTTGGAATTGGATGGCTACTGTGAAGGGCCATAGATGCATTTAAGAAAGACAATTAAAGACTGATGGTGAATGACTATCAACAAACAGTGAAATGTAAAACTCAGACGATGCATATAAAGAGACCCTCATCTCCCACAGGTGGAGGGTAGAAAACACTGAAGATCAAGCTCCAGGATTTTTTTAAGAGTATCTTTAGGTGAACTGAAAAATCTGAAACTTGGGTGGTTTCCTTTGTCAAGCTCATGGCCCCAGTTGAGAGGAAGTAGGACTCTAATATTGTGATAGGTATATCTGAGTTGAGGCATTTAATCCTTTTGAATCCCTACAGTCACTTGTATTGCTTGGTCTGAAAAGCAGACCATTCCTCTCTGTTAGAAGCTAGTGCTCCTGCATTGCTTTAAAATGATGCAGAGCTTTGTGCTTTGCAGATAAATAGATGCCCACCCTCAATGATCTGTCACCATTTGTTTCCTACCAGACTAATAACTAGAGTTAAGAAAAAAATATTATTTAGCTTGGAAAGTGTTTGGTCTGTTAAAGTAGGAAAGGGGCCTGTATGCACAAAATACTCAAATAGGAAGCCAATACATCCTAGCAGGAGAGTAGATATGGGAATAAATTCTAAGGGTCCCAGATCAAGGTGAAGAGAATATAGAGTTGAATAAAGGAGAATTTTTTTCATAGGAAAGCCGTGGTTGGCAGCTTTGAAAGATGGTCTTCGCTGATCCCCATCTCTGGTATTCATACTCCCATGTAACCCCTCCTCTTGAGTGTGGGTTGGATATAGTGACTTGCTTCTAACAAATAGAGTACAGCAAAAATTATGCATTAGCATTTCCATGAGTAGGTTAGAAAAAACCATGACTTCCATCTTGCTGAATCCCCTGTATTGTCTTCTTGGTCTGTACACTTTCAAGAAACACCTGTCTTGTTGGAGACACGTATGACTGGAAATGAGATCCTTAGTCCAACAGTCTAAGAGGACCTGTGTCCTTTACAACAATCATGTAAGTCAGCTTGAAAGTAAATCCTTCCCAGTGGAGTCTTCAAATGATACCACCGCCCCAGCAAACACCTTGATCGCAAACTGTGAGAGACCTTCAAGCAGAAAATCCAGCTAATCCCTATCCAGATTCCTGTTTTAAGTCAGCAAATTTTGAGGTAACTTGTTCCACAGCAAGAGATAACTAATTCTAATGCTGGTACTGGGAAGGGAGTGCTACTATAACAAAGAGCTAAAAATTTGAGAATGGATTTGGAACTGGGCAGTGGGTGGAGGCTGGGAGGGTTTTTGAAAACTGTGATAGAGAAAGCCTATATTGCTTTGCCAGATTGTTAATAAAAATCTGTACCTTGAGCAGGCTGTTTTGAGAGCCCAATAGGAAGTGATAAACATGTTATTGAAAACTGGAGGGCAGGGAATTCTTGCTATGTAGTGGCATAAATTTACGAACATCATCATCTGTAGTTATGTGGAAAGCAGGCCTGTACTTAACGAACTTGATGTTCTAGCTAAGGGGATTTCCAGTCAAAGTATTGAAGATGCCTCCTGATTTATTCTTGATGCTAATAATAAAATTCAAGAGGAGGAATAAAATTGAGCAAAAACTTTTAAACAAAAATGAGCTAGGACTTGATGGTTTTGAAGATTTTCAGCCTCTCCAAATCCCAAATGATGCCAATGTTAAGAAATGGCTTTGGAGCACTGTCAGGAAAACATGGCCTAGAAATAAAGCCTGGTCTAGAGATGAAGTCCAGCATGTGATTATACAACTTTTCTCAAGGTCACAGAAAGATCAAAGGGTCAGTGTATTATTCAGAAACAAAAAGAACTCTTTAAAGATATTAAGGATGTACTTCTAGGATACTTAAGCGTCTTGTCTCTCAGCCATCTCACCAGAAGCCCAAGGTAGAGAAGGGCTTATGTCTGGAGCTGAGAGCCAATTGATTTCTATTTTTGTGAAATGGAACTATTTCCATGTCTAGAAACACCATTAAGGAACTTCTAACATTTGCCTAGCTGGATTTCAGATAGCCCTCGACTCCTTCAGGTCTCACATTTTCTTCACTTTTGAATAAGAATGTCAACAATAGCTATCCCATGCCTGTATCATCATTGTATGTTGGATGTGTTGGGGACAGGTGTCTTGTCTCTTTAGTTTCACAGATCTATATATAAAAAGGTGCTATAGTTAAAAAACCATAAATAAAGAGTTTCCTTCATACTTGGACCACATTTAAATGTTAAGATTCTGACGTTGAGCATATGCTATAATGCAGTAAGACTTTTGGGGACATTGGGCAGGTGTCAATTTATTTTGCATCTCAGAGGGAGGGAATCATTTGGAACCAGAGGGTAGAAACTTTGGGTTTTTCTTTACTAACATTTTCTTCCAAAGGGCATTTTCTCACTTTCAGGGCTGATATGGGCTTCTGTCAATTGTACCTCTATGAACCAGTTCATGTGATACTTGAAAAATGCCTTTCTCCCTCCTTTTATTTTGGCTGTGGAAGATTAGCCCTGAGCTAACACCTGTGCCAGTCTTCCTCTATTTTATGTGTGGGTTGCTGCCACAGCATGGCTGACCAGTGATGTAGGCCCACACCTGGAATCTAAACCCGTGAATCTGGGCTGCCAACATGGAGCACGCTGAACTTAACCAGTAGGCCACAGTGCCAGACCCTCCTCGTCTTTACCAGCTAACTCCTAATCCTTTCCTGGCCCACTAAAGCTAGAGTAGATACTTTCTCTAGCTTGTCTCAAAAGCACTCTGCATACAACCTTGTCATAACACCTATTCTATATTACGATTTCTTAACTTTTGTGTCTCATAGTAAAATGTAAGTTCTTTGAGCACAGAGTCTCTAACTTATTCCCTTATTGATATCTAGCACCATGCTGGTGCGAATACATAAGTATTTGTAAATGAGTAAGAAAGAGCTTGAATGAGCCATGTCAGGAGCTGGCATCCAGGGCAAGAGGAGAGAAACTTCCAAAAAAAAAATAAAGGCTTCTCAGAAGTTTTCCTACTCAGGCACAATCTTGGTACTTTCTAATGAGGAGATTGTAAATAACAAAAGAAAAAGACTTTTATCTATTTCACTGCCATAGCCACATTGTGTAGAACAGATTCGGCTTATATTTGGTGCTTAATATTTATTGAATTATTGAATAAACGCATGAAAGTTAAAATCTTATGCCCTAAAGCTATCTTCCGCATGGTGAATTACCCTTCCTTTCATTGACTTTCTTATTTCCCCTAAATGGGACCATGAGTTAGTGAAATAGTGATACATGAATTGTGCTTGATTGCTTTCCCTTACATGAATAGGGTAAGAGCAACTGCTTGTTTCTTTAACAATTAAGTGCACTTCTGCCAGTGAATTGCAATAGCTATGTGCAAATCCATGACAAAGATGAGATATGTTTTTTGCAATGCCCCTCCCTCTGCAGTGGTGAATCCACAGGGAACCAGGACAAACTTTAAGACCCATTCACAGCATTCTAGTTCTGGCCCAGTAGTCACCACAGGAACCCAGACTAGTATGATCGCCAGGTCGTATCTTCATTTCACCCCAATAACCAGCTCCCTTTCCAGATCACCTCAATGGTCAGGGTCTCTCCAGTATCCTTTTTCCCATTTATATGTGCAGCTCTTCTAAGCTCCTTTAAGGCCTCATCTAGCTGATTGGTAATAATCAGCCACTGCGCCGACTCCAGCACACTCCTGATGAGAGAATACAATGCACGTGCAGTAATTATTCAATTGCTTATCTTCCACATGACATTTAACCTGAGATTCCTTTCCCTTCCATTTAATATAGAACAATGCTTGGGATTTACTCTTGAATGGAAACTCAGTTTCTCATTAGGGAAAACAAATAATCACAGGACGATATTGGGAGACATCCACAGGCAGTGTGTGGGGCATGGTTTCCCACCTTTCTTGATAGTATCCTTTGACATTCATGTTTAAAAAGAAATTTTGATAAAGTATAATTTATCTATTTTTTTCTTTGGTTGATTGTGTATTTCGTGCGGTATCTAAGAAACAGTTGCTTAGTCTGAGTTCACAAAGGTTCACCTCCATGTTTTCTTCTAATAATTCTATCTATTACATTTAGGTCTTTGATGTATTTTGAGTTAATGTTTATGTGATGTGAGGTAGGGGTCCAAAATAATTCTTTTGCATATGGTTATACATTTGTCATGGCACCACTTGTTAAGCAGGCTATTCTTTTTTTCAGTTATTTTACTGAGGTCATGTTTGTTCATAACGTTGTGTAATTTCAGTTGTACATTATTATGTGTCAGTTTCTGTAGAGACTGCATCATGCTCACTACCGATAGTCTAATTCTTGTCTGTCACCAAATATATGTGCCCCTTTACCCCTCTTGCCCACTCTCCACCCCTCTCCAGTCTGGTAATCACTAATCTATTCTCTTTATCTATGTGTTTGTTGATCTTCCACATATGAATGAAATCATATGGCGTTTTCACTTAACTTTATACCCTCAGGGTTCACCCATGTTGTGGCAAATGGGACCATTTTGTCTTTTCTACAGCTGGGTAGTATTCCATTGTTCTATATATATGTATATATATAGAACATTTTTATCCATTCATCACTTGATGGGCACTTGGGTTGCTTCCACATCTTGGCTATTGTGAATAATGCTGCAGTGAACATAGGGGTGCATAAATCTCTTTGAATTGTTGATTACATGTTCTTTGGATAGATACCCAGTAGTGGGGTAGCTGGATCATATAGTATTTATTTTTTGAATTTCTTCAGAAATCTCCATACTGTTTTCCACAGTGGCTGCACCAGTTTGCATTCCCACCAGCAGTGTATGAGCATTTCCTTCTCTCCACATCCTCTCCAACACTTGCTATTTTTTTGTCTTGGTAACTTTAACCATTCTGACAGGTGTGAGGTGATATGTCATTGTAGTTTTGATTTGCATTTCCTTAATAATCAGTGATGTTGAACATCTTTTCATGTGCCTGTTGGCCATCTGTATATCTTCTTTGGAGAAATGTCTGTTCATATCCTCTGCCTATGTTATGATTGGCTTGTTTGTTTTTTGTTCTTGAGCTGTATGAGTTCTTTGTATATTTTGGAAATTAACCCCTTGTTGGATATATGATTTGTAAATGTTTTCTCCCACTTGGTGCGTTGTCTTTTCTTTTTGTTCATGATTTCCTTTGCCTTGCAGAAGGTTTTTAATCTGATGTAGTCTCATTTGTTTATTTTTCCTTTTGTTTTCCTTGCCTGGGCACACATCATATTTGAAAAGATGCTAAGACAGATGTCAAAGATTATACTCTTGCCTTCTCTTTCCGCTGGGTTCATTATTAGTGTATAGAAATGCAACTGATTTTTGTAAGTTGATTTTGTACCCTGCAACTTTGCTGTAGTTGTTGATTACTTCTAATAGTTTTCTTGTGTATACCTTAGAATTTCTATATATATGTTGTCTGAAAACAGCAAGAGTTTCACTTCTTCCTTTCCTGTTTGGATACCTTTTATTTCTATTTCTTGCCTAATTGCTCTGGCCCAAAGTTCCAGCAATATGTTGAATAGGAGTGGCAAGAGTGGGCATCCTTGTCTTGTTCTGTTCTGAGGGATGGCTTTCAGTTTTTCACTGTTAAGTTTGTTGTTGTCTGTGGGTATGTCACACATGGCCTTTACCATGTTAAGATTCTTTCCTTATATACCCATTTTATTCAGAGTTTTTTAAAAATCATAAATGGATGTGGTTCTTGCTAAATGCTCTCTCCATATCTATTGAGATGATCATGTAGTTTTTATTGCTCATTTTGTTACTGTGGTGTATCACGTTGAATGATCTGCAGATGTTAAACCATCCCTGTGTCCCTGGTGTAAATCCCACTTGGTCATGGTGTATGATCCTTTTAATGTATTGCTGTATTTGTTTTGCCAATATTTTGTTGAGGATTTTTGCGTCTGTGTTCATCAGTGATATTGGCTTGTAATTTTCCTTCTGTGTGTTGTCATTGTCTGGTTTTGGTATCAGGGTAATGTTGGCCTCATAAAATGAGTCAGGAAGTATTCCGTCTTCTTCAATTTTAGCAATAATTTGAGAATGATAGGTATTAAATCTTCTTTGAATGTTTGGTGGAATTCTCCGGAGAAGCCGTCTGGTCCTGGACTTTTGTCTTTTGGGAGGTTTTTGATTACTGTTTCAATTTCTTGACTTGTGATCAGTCTATTCAGATATTCTCTTTCGTCTTGATTCAGTTTTGGGAAGTTGTATGACTACAGGAATTTATCCATTTTTTTCTTGGTTATCCAATTTGTTGGCATATCATTTTTCATAGCATAGTCTTGTAATCCTTTGTATTTCTGTGGCTTCCCTTGTAATTTCTCCTCTTTCATTTTGAATTTTATTTATTTGAGTCTTCTCTCTTTTTTTCTTAGTAAGTCTGGCTAAGGATTTGTCAATTTTGTTTATCCTCTCATAGAGCTAGCTCTTAGTTTTGTTAATCCTGTCTATTGTTTTTTAACTGTCTATTTTATTTATTTCTGCTCTAACTTTTATTATTTCGCTCCTTCTGCCGACTTTGGGCTTTGTTTGTTCTTCTTTTTCTACTTCTGTTATGTGTAGTTTAATATTACTTATTTGAGATTTTTCTTGTTTGTTGAGGTGGGCCTGTATTGCCATAAATTTCTCTCTTGGCACCACTTTTACCACATCCCATAAGAGTTGATGTATTGTATTTTCATTTTCATTTGTCTACAGGTATTTTTTGACTTCTCCGTTGATTTCTTCATTGATCCAATGGCTGTTCAGTAGCATGTTGCTTAGTCTCCAAATATTGGAGTGGCTTTCCTAGCTTTTTTCTTGCAGTTGATTTCTAGTTTTATAGTATTGTGGTAGGAAAAAATGCTTGATATGATTTCAATCTTCCTAAGTTTATTGAAGTTTGCCTTGTTTCCCAACATGTGGTCTATCTTTGAGAATGTTCCATGTGCACTTGAGAAGAATGTGTATTCGGCTGCTTTTGGATGGAATATTCTCTATATATCTATTAAATCAATCTAGTCTCTTGTTTCATTTAAGGCCACTGTTTCCTTGTTGGCTTTCTGTCTGGATGATTTGTCCATTGATGTAAGTGGGGTGTTGAGGTCCCCACTATTATTGTGTTGCTGTTAATTTCTCCTTTTAGGTCTGTTATAGTTGCTTTACACACTTTGCTGCTCCTGTGTTAGGTGTACGTATATTCACGTGTTATTTCCTCTTGGTGGAATATCCCTTTTATTATTATATCCTGCCCCTTTTATCTCTCATTGTTCTTTTTATCTTGAAGTCAGCTTTGTCTGATATAAGTATGGCAACATCTGGTTTCTTTGCTTGCCATTTGCTTGAAGTACTGTCTTCTATCCCTTCTCGCTGAGCTTATCTTTGTATTTATAGCTGAGATGTGTTTCCTAGAGGCAGCATATTGTTAGGTATTTTCTTTTAGTCCATCCAGCCACTCTGTGTCTTTTGATTGGAAAATTCAGTCCATTTACTTTTTGAGTGATTATTGATATATGAGGGCTTAATGCTGCCATTTTATCTATTGTTTTTAGGTTGTTCTATATTTCCATTGTTTCTCTTCCTTTGTATTTCTGACTGCCATTTCAATTTGGCAGTTTTCTGTGATGGTTTTCTCAGTTTTCTCTTTATGATTTGTGGCTCTATTCTGATTCTTTGTTTAGTGGTCACTGTGAGTTTGTATAAAATATCTCATAGATGAGACAGTCCATTTTCTGAGAGCCTCTTATCTTCTTTAGCCTAAGCTGGTTCCATCCCTTTCCTCTTCCCTGTCTGAGCTACCATTGTCACAAATTCTTCTTTTCTGAGTTGTGAGTTTTTGACTAAATTGGAGTGTTTATAGTTGTTTTGATTTTCCTATCCTTTATCTTTTATATTATACTTAAGTAGTTGCTAATCTTTTCTGATATAGAACTGCAATTTTCTAATTTTCTTTGTCTGTTTATCTCCTTCTAAAGGCTTTGTAAACCTTTGCATTTTTGTTTCAGGTAGGAGGGCTTCCTTCATAATTTCTTGCAAGGGAGGTCTAGTGGCAATAAACTCCCTCAGCTTTTGTTTATCTGGGAAAGCTTTGCTTTTCCCATTGAATCTGAAGGATAGTTTTGCTGAATAGTATATTCTTGGCTGTATGTTTTTGTCTTTCAGTATTTTTTTTTTTAAAGATTTAATTTTTTTCCTTTTTCTCCCCAAAGCCCCCTGGTACATAGTTGTGTATTCTTCGTTGTGGGTTCTTCCAGCCGTGGCATGTGGGATGCTGCCCCAGCGTGGTCTGATGAGCAGTGCCATGTCTGTGCCCAGGACTCGAACCAACGAAACACTGGGCCGCCTGCAGCGAAGCGCACGAACTTAACCACTCGGCCACGGGGCCAGCCCCTGTCTTTCAGTATTTTGAGTATATCACTCCATTCTCTCCTAGCCTGTAAGGTTGCTGCTGAGAAATCCGTGGAAAGTCTGATGGCATTTATCTGCAGATTATTTTCTTCTTCCTTGCTGCCCTTAATATTTTTTCTATGTCATTGACTGTTTTAACATTATATGCCTTGGAAAAGGTCTTTTTGCATTGGTGCAATTCTGAGTTGTATTGGCTTTATGACCTTGTATGTCCAGTTCCTTCACCAGGTTTGGGAAGTTCTCAGCTGTTATTTCTTTGAACAAGCTTGC